TCTGGTTTTGGAATTAGGGTGATGGTGGCCTCATAGAATGAGTTTGGAAGTTTACCTTCTTCTGCAATTTTCTGGAAGAGTTTGAGTAAGATAGGTGTTAGCTCTTCTCTAAATTTTTGGTAGAATTCAGCTGTGAAGCCATCTGGTCCTGGACTTTTGTTTGCTGGAAGATATCCTACATGTGTCTTTTTAAATTGTGGTTTTCTCAGGGTATATGCCAAGTAGTGGTATTGTTGTATCATATGGTAGATTTTCCCTAATCTTTTAAGGAATTTCCATATTGTTTTCCATAATGGCTGTATCAGTTTACATTCCCACTAACAGTGCAGGAGGGTTCCCTTTTCTCCATAACTTCTCCAACATTTATTTTAGTAGATTTTTGGATGATGGTCATTCTGAATGTTGTGAGGTGATACTTCATTGTAGTTTTTATTTGAATTTCCCTAATAATGAGCAATATTGAGCATCTTTTCTTGTGTTTATTGGAAATTTGTATGCCTTTGGAGAAATGTCTGTTTAGGTTTTCTGCCCAGATTTGATTGGGTTGTTTGTTTTTCTGATACTGAACTGTATGAGCTGCTTATATATTTCGGAGAGTAATCCTTTTAAAAAACGCTTTTAAAAGCATACAGATTATTTAATTGGTTTCCAAAGAATTGTTTCTCTACCTATTTCTATGATTCTAAATAATTTTAAAAATTAGTGTTACCACTTACTGACATCAAGATAGAATTTCCTTAGTAAGATCTATCACCATCTCATGAAAAACAAAGAAAGGTTTATCAACTATCACAGACCCTAAGACATGGTGATTATGTGGAAGTAGTATCCTGATTTGGATCTGAAATTGAGAGAGGACATCAGTGAAAAAACTGGTAAAATAGAAATAAGTCTGTAGTTTTGCTAATGGCATTGTACCAACGCTAATTATTTAGTTTTGACAAATGGATCATAGTTGCATGAGATGGTAGAATTAAGAGATGCTTGGTGAAGAGTATACTGGAATTCTCTGAACTATCATTACAATTATTCTATACCTTTAAGATTATCCAAAATAAAAGATGTCTTTTTTAAAAATTGTATTATCCTCCCAAATTACAAGAGGAACCAATCCCAGAACTTGCTGTTCCACATTCCAAATTTATTTACTAACATCTGATTTTTATTGACAATTATAAATTATTGTCATCAGTATTATCGAAAGCACCACTAGGAAATGCTACTTGTGTTAGTCTGCTCAGGCTGCCATAACAAAATACCACACACCAGGTGTTAAAAGACAGAATTTATTTTCTCACTCTTTTGGAGACTAAAATTCTAGATCAAGATACTGTTGAAACAGGAGGAAGGGCACAGGGTACAACCTTAAAAAGAATGACATGGCCACAGGACATGAAAAAACTGGTTGAAACCAACTAGATCCAAGATGGCTGAAGACTCAACTCCCGGCAGACCCTGAACCTCATTACATGCTCATTGTAATACACTGGCATATGCTCAACGACACACCCACCAGTGTCATGACAGTTCTGAGGCCAGCCATAAAGGGTCAAAAAGTGGGCAGTGGCCCAGTTCCTAGAAATATCCACCCCTTCCCCCAAATAACTGGAATAACCTTCCCACTCATTAGCCTATGGAATTACCCAGCCCACAAAAACTAACCACGCCACATTTTGGGCCTCTCTCTTCTTGCCTTCTGAGATGGCCCACACTCTGTCTGTATAGTGTGCTTTTCTCTAAATAAATCTGCTTCTTACCTTTCTCTGAGTTCTTTCACGATGTAGCAAGAACATGAGATTCACAAGGAACGATGTCAGGGTTGGTTTCTGATGAGAACTCTCTTCTTGGTTTGCACATGACTGTGTCCGACTGTGTCCTCACATGGCCTTTCCTCTGTGTGTCCACAGAGAGAGAGAGAGCAAGCTCTAGTACCTCTCCCTCTTCTTATAAGGACACCCTGTCCTATGGGATTAAAGCCCCACCCATATGATTTCACCTAACCTTTATTCCCTTTTTATAGGCCCTGTCTCCACATCACACTGGGGTATAGGGCGTTTTCAGTATAAGAATTTTTGGCAGGACACAATTCAATCCTTATCAGAACTGTTTGCAAAGTATTTCCGTTCCTATTACAGGTTTCACAAACTGGTAATGTTTGATTTTACCTTTCTGAGGGCAGTACAAACACATTTCACACTCACTGATAACCTCTGTCTTTTGAAACTATTTGCTGAAATTGGGTTTTGTATTATTTACTGTATGATCTGAATATTTCCAAATAGTTCCTAGTTAGGTCTATTCTGAAATGACATATTCTAATGATCACATTTGAGAATCTTATAATAATATTCATTCTATTTTCTCATTGCCAAGTGTCTTTTGAAACATCTGTCTTAAAACTAGAAGATGGTTTTCCACATGCCAGAGATGATAATATGCGAACAATTGTTTTTCTCTTCTTTAAAAGCTACCTGGAAATGGTAGGAACAGGCCAGTCAAGAATGATAAATCATGATTAAGATCTAAATCTCCTCTTGATTTTTATGTCTTGCCTTTGTCAGAGTTTTCTAACATGGGGAAAGAAAAAGAGCTAAAGCTTTCACTATGCCTATGCTAATTTTCCACTGTTTCATAGGAAAAAAGCAAATATGCCTACACTTTGTTGAGCATAGTGACATTTTTAGATTAGCAGAAATCTAGGTCAAAGTTTTTAGCAATCTTCAAAGTACTGCTTTTCTGTTAAAATGGAAACTGGAATTTCTCAAAGCAACCCCCAGATAATTTTCATTAAATAGATAAACTCCCAGATATGTTGTACATGAAAAACTTTCAAAAATGGCATTGGTGCTGTGAGAATGTTACTTCAACCAGTTTCATATGGTTCCTGCCCTTGGTTAAGAAAGTATTCTGTCCTACTGTTAGATAATGTGACATGTGCCTATAGATTATTCATAATGGGAAGACAGTTGTGTCTATGGAAGAGTAAAATAGTACATGTATTCTGTCTGTGTATATGTGCAGAAACCAGGCAAACAGAAACAGCTTTACTGCATGTTAAGAAAAATGTTGTTTGAACAGAATTTTAATAAAACAAAAATCCTCTAAGTGGCTTTGATTTTAAGTGCCAAATATTTGCATTTGCTTTCTCAGGCAAGATGGCCAGGTCACTGGATCCACTGAGGCTTTAATCAGCCCATCCTCTAGAACAGCTGCCTATTCTCGTGAAGCCAGGAAGACGCTCAGGTACTGTGGTCAATTATAGAATAAATGACAGGACCATTCTCCTTCTGGCTTTTTTTTCTCCTGTTTTTTTTTTTTTTTTTAAGAAAACATCCACATGGAACCTGATCCTTCCTTTGAAATACAGAAATTTTTAAAAAATTTTGCTGTTGTTTTTATGTATTTTTTGTGTTCCAATAAAACTTTCTTATTTTAAATGTATTTATTTTTAATTGAAGGATAATGCTTTACTATATTGTGTTTGTTTCTGTCCTACATCAGCATGAATCAGCCACAGGTATACATATGTCCCCTTCCTCTTGAACCTGCCTCCCATCTCCTTCCCCATCCCACCCTCTAGGTTGTTACAGAGCTCCGGTTTAAGTTTCCTGAGCCATACAGCAAATTCCCATGGGATATCTTATTTTATTTATGTTAGTCATATGTTTCCATGCCACTCTCTCCATTCGTCCTAACCTCTCCTTCCTCCCTGCTTGCCCATGTCCATAAGTCTGTTCTCTAAGTCTGTGTTTCCATTGCTTCCCTACAAATAAGTTCATCAGTATCATCTTTCTAGATTCTATATGTATGTGTTAATGTATGATATTTGTTTGAAATGCAGAAATTTTTAATTTTAACCAGTGGCTTTATAGGCTTATACAAAGGTGTTGAGTAAACATCTTGGTCATTGGTAAGTTGTCAGTTAAGAATAAGTGTAGGAGTGATTTTTCCTTAGAAAGTCTGTAATTTTTTAAAAAATATGATTGTGACATTGACATTGACATCCTTAGGTAGATTTAAAGGTTTCACTGAATCACGTGTTATCATGTTGGTTAATTAAGGTCCACTTTTTGTCTGAGATTTGTGGGGAAAGCAATGGTTTGGAAGTTTGGATGAGACATTAGGGTAATAGACGCTAAAACATAGTACACAAGTATTCAAAGTAAGCTGCATGGTCTACAATATATTTGCTGAGTGACCGATTTCATAGTAGCATTCTGGAATTAGGCCAAAGCAGTAGAAGTTAAGACAAAATGGGAAACATAAATAAATTTTTCAGAAATGGATTAATACCAGTTTAACATTTATATTTCAAAGATTATAGGTTAGAAGGCGTATATGAGCATTTTCTTTTCATTGGATTGGATAATTGCCTTGTTAATTTGATTATCCTATAAACAAACTTTAAACATAAACTCAAATGGTTTGTATTGCAGCTCCAATGCTGAAACCAGGCATGCAGGACCAAAGGATACAGTTGTGTACACAAGGACGTACATGGAGAATAGGTACTGGAAATTTATTTGAAGTATTTTGCTTTATATATTTTATAATTTTTAAATAATCTGTGTTTAAGAAGAAATGTCACTTTTTAAGGTATGCTTTTTTTTTTTTCAAATAGCAGACCATTTAAGAGAGTACTGAGTTCTAGATATATATTAATAATTCTTTATAATCTTTCCATTATCAGTAGTCGTAGTGTTAGTCGCTCAGTCGTGTCCAACTCTTTGCAACCCCATGGACTGTAGCCTATCAGGGTCCTCTATCCACAGAATTCTCCAGGCAAGAATACTGGAGTGGGTTACCATTCCCTTCTCCAGAGGATCTTCTCAACTCAGGAATCAAACCCAGATCTCCTGTGTTGCAGGCAGATTCTTTACCGTCTGAGCTACAGGGAAGTCATATTTTTAAGTAGTTGTCAAATAATCATACAAAGTCATAGGACAGACTAAATAATATATTAATATAACACACGTATACATCATAGGATAGTTATTTGAAAGTAGTCAAATAAACATACATGCCCATAATGAACCTTATAAAATCACACAAGTATTCCTGTGCTAATTTTGGAGTCACACTTTAATTAAGTGTTTCTATTGCTCACCTCTAATCTGAAACAAGGGGTATAACTTTTTAGTAAATATGCTCAGGCCCAGAAACTCTGCTGCCTAATGTGATGGATGTCGAGGAAAATGTCCACCAAGGTCAGGGATTCACAAGTTATTCAGTTTTTCAGGAGTCTATAAAAAAGAATTAGCCTAATTGTGGCATAGGGTAACAGTGGGGCATTCAGATATGGATAAACTATAGGCTGTATACGTGTTGATCATCATCCAGTTCAAAGAGACCAGAGAGCAGTGTACAGGGTGGGGGTGGAGCTGCCATAAATTCAAGGTGTGTCAGGATTTGAGCAACCTTCCCCGTCAAAAGGATTTTTCAAACCCAAGAAAAAATTTCCTTGTGAAATGCAACCTCAGTCTTGATTTTCCTGCTTAATCCAATTCTCCCTAAAATCGACAGTGATTTAGAATCAAATCTGAGTTTGTCATTTACTGACCACGTGGCCTCAGCAAAGCCACTTGACTTCAATTTCCTGTCTCAATTCAAGTCTCAATTTTCTGACCCATAAAATGGGAATGACTATATATGTGTCATGCATCAGTATGCACAAACTCACTTAGCACTCTGGGCTCTGTGTTCCATAAAGCAATTTCTCTTTCTGACAGCAACTGCTTGTAGGTTGTTTGGAGGGAGAGAGAAATTTCTCATTAAAAAATCCCAGGTGAGGCATGTGGAGTTACCCCTCACTGTATGAAATAAAGGAACACATTGCTTCCAGTCCTCATATGTTCCCAGGTAGCATGCATACTGGGGAGGCAATTACAGGCAGCCAGTTAGTGCAATGCATTCTTCATCTGTCTCCAGGAGCGAATGACAGTTACTAACTGGAGCGGAAAGGGAACAAAGAGGACTTTCAAAAGTTACAATATTTTTTGCTGTATTCTAAACAATTCTTGGATGTTTTCATGTAAAAATAAAAGCTTCCAAAGTTTCCCCTAAAGGTTCAAAAGTATTTCTCTATGTGAATGATGTCTGTCTATATTTGCTTACACTGAGTATAGTCGTGCTTTGTGTATATTCTTTATGTTAGAACAGCAGAGACCTTTCTTTTAGTAAAAACAAAGGAGGTGCAAGTACAAATTTTATGAAAAACGCTAACTACTATTCCCACTTACACTTGTGCTTGTGATCTCCTTGCTCCATTCTTTATTTTGGTGGATATGTCGACTTACGTCACCTTGGAGGTAACTTGCATATCAATACTTCTCCAGGTTAAAAAAAAACAAGTTAGTACATTGTCCTGACGTATAACATCACAAAGAATAACAATAGTGTGTGTGTGTGTGCGCGCTTCCTTGCCTACATAGGTGTATTAATATATATCAATACTTCAACACTAGGGAAATAGCCCAGTTCTCACATGTCCATTTGTGCTTGTTTCTAGCAAATCACCCAAGGATGGATATCAGGAGACTGTCTCTGGAAAATACATACAAACTGTTTATTCAACTTCAGATAGGTAAGTGTATCTGTACTTCCTACATACAAGTATATATATACCCATATCCACACGTATATTAATAAACATATGCATTCTTGGACTTCCCTGGTGGATCAGACGGTAAAGACTCTGCCTGCCCATGCAGGAATTCCAGGTTCGATCCCTGAGTCAGGAAGATTCCTTGGAGGAGGGCATGGTAACCCAGTCCAGAATTTTTGCCTGGAGAAATCCATGGACTGAGGAGCCTTGTGGGATATATATATATAAAGTATATATATATATATACTATATATATACACTAAAGTATTACAAGTATTTAATATATATACTATATATATATGCTATTATATACTAAAGTGTTACAAGTATTGTATATCTTGTACCAAAGTATTACCAAATACTTGTAAATTACAAGTATATATATATATATACTATATATATACACTAAAGTATTACAAGTATTTAATATATATACTACTATATACTAAAGTATTACAAGTATTATATATGTATCTATCTATAAATATATACTAAAGTATTACAAGTATTACATATATTTTATATATATATGTATATATATATATAGTATTCTTATTGTCCATTGAACTTGGAGATGGCCCTCCTGAGAGTGATTGTTCTACTGCTGATTGTGTGAGTGGAAGAAGTACAACCACCTCTGCACCCAGGAGTTTGTTCCTTGGCTTCCTGGCTGTCATTCTCTGATTTTGATGTACTTTGTTGCAGGAGAGCTTTCTGTGTTTTCCAGCTATCTCCTAGGCGAGTGTCTCGGCTGTAGATGATCCCTGGAGTCCCCGTTGCCACCACATTATTAGCCTCTAGGCTTCCCTGCATCCCTAGATCGTGTCCTCAGCCCTCTCTCCTTGTGGTCTTCTAGAGCCAGCTCATCTTACAAACAGCTGCGTGGATGCACTTTCTGTGACCCACTCCAGGCATGGGCTCAGTGCCCAAGAGGGAGGGTTAGGGTGAGCATCAGTTTAGTGCCAGTAAACTGACCCCAGGCTTTTGCTCTTGATTACTCTCTTTTAGCATGTAATGCTCAGTGGGGCAAATAGGTGACACCCATGTGACACAAGTCTGCAGACTTCCAGCAGAGAAAATGAAAATAAATAATTCATGTTGCAACCCAACCACTGGAAACCAGCTGTAAGGCAAATGTCTGATATTCTGTTGACGGTGTTTCTCTATCGCTGGTGCTGAAACAAGGCTCACTGAGGGTCAGGACATATTTTTATGCACAGCCTCAGCTTGGAACACAGTCCTTGGCACCTCACCGATACTCAGTAAATGACTCCAGAAAAAAAAAAAACCACACCTATGTCCCATTTGCTAAGGGAAACATAGATGAACCAGGCATCAAAATTATATCCTCTTTTGGTCACTTTTGTGAGATCTTGTATTACCAAGGGTCTTCTGAGTGTCTTGCCTTTAAGTCATAGCTCTTTGATGTGGCTACCTGAGCACCACAAATACTGTCTAGATAAGTAAAAAAAAAACCCTAAAAAAACAGAATTAGATTTTTCAAAATACTCTGAAAAGATCTTCAACTAATAGTATGATCTTAGTAAGGACATCAGCAACTTCAGAGTTTGGTGGGTGCATATTTTAATGGTTAGCCTAAGTGAAGGAAAACTTCCTTCACTAAAGTATTGCTCTTTGTATGAAGGATTTCACTCTTGTTCTCCAAGTGGTCCTTGAAATTTTTTCAGTCACCAGAGCAAAAGTCAATTCTCCATTAAAGCCAGTTGGTCAGGTAACATTTTCTGTTGATTATTCTGAGAAATTAGCTGTTTCCCCATAGTTCTTATCTAATCACGTCAATCCCATTTAAAGTCAAGTCATTAATGCAGTCATAAAAAAGAACAAAATAATGCCATCTGCAGCAACATGGATGTACCTATAGATTATCAACTGAGTGAAGTAAGTCAGACATAGACAAATCTATGGTGTCTGTCATATGTGGAATCAGAAAGGGTACAAACGAACTTATCCACAAAATAAAGATAGAGTCACAGATGTAGAAAACAAATTTACCAAGGGATAAGTGAGGGAAGGGATAAATTGGGAGATTGGGACTGACATATATATACTATTATATATAAAATAAGGGATTCCCAGGTGGCTCAGTGGTAAAAATATCTGCCTGCCTAAGCAAGAGAAACAGGAGACATGGGTTTGATCTCTGAGTCAAGAAGATGCCCTGGAGAAGGAAATGGCAACCCACTTCAGTATTCTTGTGTGAAAAATCCCATGGACAGATAAGCCTGGCGGGCGTTCATGGGGTCACAAAGAGTCAGATACAACTGAGCAACTGAGCATGCACACACATTAAATTATTAGAGTATGAAAATTTATGGCTAAGAGACCCAGTACTAGGACAAACACTAAATTGAGTGTGTTTTCTTCCTACTTGTACCCAGGAACTAAACATTGCTTCAATTTATGATCACAATTTAAATTCTTAATAAATTTGAGTTCTAAGTCATGTTATATGTACTTTCATCACTTTAAGTGGTTTCAAATCATTTTCTGCATATTAAGTTTATAAGAATGATTGTATTGGAAAATGCACTAAAAGTGCTGTGGTCTAAGCTCACACACACACACAATAAAGTGGTCAGTGCCGCTTTATAGGATAAAGACGGAAGTCCTCTGCACAGGATTTATGGGCCTTCAGAACCTTGTCCTGCTGATTAGTGACTAAAGATCCACCACTCCAGCCACCCTCATCGTGTCTCACCTTGGCACGTCCTGTCCACTCTGCTTAGAACCCTTCCATCACGCCTCTGCCCCGCTCACTTTGAGAGCTCCTTCACCTTCAAGCTTTAACTCACCTGGCACTTAAGCTGACAAGCCTTTCCTACTTTAGCCCAGAGGTGAGTTGTCCATCTGGCTGTGCTCTCCTCACTCTTCACACATCCGTAATACATGGCCAGTATCCAGTCACCTGGCTACCCCAGGGGAAAGAAAGCTTCTCCTTGAAGGAGACCTTCTCGCTCTTCTTTATATTCCCAGCTCCTCTCTCAGTGTCTCTGGAATGCAAGGATGCTAGAGAGTGCCTGCTTTCTGCTCTTGAAGAGCTTATAGTCTAATAGGGGAAATTTAAGCCTGTGTGTACATACGTATGGGCTTCCCCAGGGACTCAGTCGGTAGGGAATCCGCCTGCACTGTGGGAGACCAGGGTTCGATTCCTGCCTCAGGAAGATCCCCCAGAGAAGGGAATGGCTACCCACTCCAGGATTCTTGTCTGGAGAAGTCTGTGGAGAGAGAAGCCTCTCTTACCCCCTCCTCCTGTCCACTTTCCCTCCTCTCTGCTTCGAGTCCTGGTCCTGATGATAGGATTGACCGTGGTTTCTGACCATGACCAGCTCCTTATCATCTAGTGAGCCCAGTCAACGGGCAGGCCCAGAGGCAGCACATGGCCCTGTGGCCGTCTGCCTTCATTCGCATCCTGCCTCCGCCACTCACTGGCTGCATGACCTACCCTTCTATGCCTCAGCTTCCTCTTGTGTACAATAAAGATAAAAATAAGAGTTACCTGCTTCTCAGAGATGTTATGAAGAATAGACAGGTTTATATAAGCAAAGTGCATGGAAAATGTGCTGCACATGTTAAGCATATTAGCACTGTAAGTATTAGCTATTTTATTTCATTACCCCAGTACTTTGGAAATTTCAGGCTTTTATGCTAACACCCTGAGACTAGTAAACACTGCCCAAGGTGCTATTTAAGACTATCTAAGACCTTCCAAAAGAATAAGAATCACATAGTTATTAGCCCTTTCTTAAGGCTCTAATGTGACTCAAGGGCTTTAGAACTTGCTGATCACTTATTTATTATTGAACGTTATTTTTCCAAAGTAAATAGAAAAGAATTTTTATCACTAAAGTCACCCTAATATTCTGAGTCTTGCAATGACACCAAGAAAATCAGCAAGGGAGCATTTTGATGATTCTGGACCCTATAGTCCAGGGTATCCATCATTTGTGAGTTTACCAACACATTCTTGAATGGATTTCTATTTTTGTACTACTGAATGTCTAAGAGTTAAATTTTTATATTAATCTTCAACCTAATTTTTCTATGATATATGTACATTAATAATTTAAAACCCTCTTCTAGCTTCAAGGGGGTACTTATGACCTAGTTCAATTAGGAAACTGTGAACATCTTTACCCTGTGCAGATGCACTTTTGATTACTAATGAATTAATAATTTGAAACTGCCTTTTATGTTAATTCTTTGATATAATTCTGAAACAACTAGAAGAATCCAGTCTATTACTAGGATAAGTAAGTCCTCAACTTTCCTTGATTTTTACACAATTTACTAAAGTATCAATAAAATTAACATGTTATTTCCATATGATTTTATGGGGAATACATTTGTCTTTTGCATGATGACAAATTTATTTTTAATTGCTTACATCTCTATAGGTCTGTCATTGAGAGAGACATGTGCACTTACTGTAGAAAACCCCTGGGCACGGAAACCAAGATGATTTTAGATGAATTACAAATTTGCTGCCATTCGACTTGCTTCAAGGTATGCCTATGTTTGTTGTATTTAACTCTCATGCAAAATTGCATAATGACTAGAATAAAAATAATTATCTAATAGAATTTATGAGATGAAGTTAAAACTTTCAGAAACACTGTCATGCACATTAATAATGAACTGTTTAAATATTTCTCCGAGTTCTCAGCCTGAAACTCCAAGATTTATAATTACTCTCTTGACTTTAGGCTTAGTTGATTACTGACATGTTGATAACTCTTATTCTACAGATTTAAATCTATAAAGAGATAAACACTTGTTCTCTTTAGAAAAGTTTTTGCAGCATTTTCATAAATCATACATTGCATTAAATATATAATGAAATCCAAAAAGGAAAAGAAACTTTTGAGAAGAAAGTTACTAGCTTCTTACATCCTAAAATTAGGATTGATGGGCTTAACAATAGTAGTCTGCCTTTGAGAGCACAATTAATTATAATTAAATATGGCTTAGTAGAATAATAATAATAATAATAAAGTGTACATAGTAGAATGCTTCACAATTTGTGCCTTCACATGCCATTTCTTTTACTTTCACAGAAGTTTTAGGTAGGTCAACAATATAGTTATTGGTATAACAAGGTGAGCACTTAACTAGGAACCTGAAGACCTGAGTTTGAGTTCTAACTGACACTACTTGTGGCCATGTGACTTTGGACAATCACCTAAATTAGCTTAGCCTAAGTTTCTTCATCTGTAAAATGACATAGCTGATTAGACCAGTGGTTTCTCAACCCTGGATGAACATTATAATTGTCCAGGGAGATGATGAGAAGAATAAAATGCTTGGGACCAGCCCCAGTTACATCATGAATCTTAGAGATGATTTCTGGGCATTGGTGTTTTTAAAGCCTTCTTAGATCTAAAAGGCAGCCAGTTGGAGAACCACAGCCTGAATCTATGGGTCCTTTCTAGTGCTGATAGATTCTATGATTAATGCAAATTATCTGATTCAGTCAAGTAGATGTAATATTAGGCTGGCCAAAAAAGTCCATTTGGGTTTTCCAATAAGATGTTATGAACTTTTTGGCCAGCCCAATACTTCAACACTTGATTGCTTCTCTTTCAGTTAGCTTCAGGCAATGACACAAAGTAATAAAAAATTCAGTGCCTCATTTTGACGCAACAAAATCCAAATTTAGGCCATCATATATAGAATTCTATATAAAGTATGACATGAAAATTTCATAATTATTTCATTATAGGACAGGAAAATTTCCTTTAAGTTATTCAAATTTACTCAGTGGAACAAAAATTAGTCTATGGCTCTTTATTTAAAATTATTATGCACAAAACTTTTTAAAGAAGAAAATTCTCCTGATTATTGCCTTTGGTCAACAGGAATAATTTCCATTTGCTATATTTTAGATGATTTATTTCTATTGTCAATTTAATTATAAAACACTACTGAGAATAAAAATATCCCCACACTCCTAAGAAAAGACAGATTACTCTATAGCCATAATTATAGAGAATTACCTGAACTGGCTTAAACATGTCTAACTGATCTATGACAATTTGCGTCAATGAACTTGAAAGTCAGCCAGTTGGCAGTGGACTTCCTCCAGTGAGCCCGGGTTTAAGGTGGATGTCAAGCCTTTCTTGCCTCTTTAACCAGCATAGGTTGAAACAAATTTCCCCCTAAACTGTGTCCAGAGTCAGAAGTTTGTTTTGTCAATGACACTATATCTGGACAGCGTAGCTCTCCAATTAGTAAGCAAACAATAAATACACTTAGTGTTTTTGTTTGCAATATCCAACAGTGATCTTGTCTTTGGCATAACCAATTTTTGAAAATGTTTATCTACTCTATATTATATTTGAGTTAGGTAGAAACTTCAGTAGTAGGTATGCCCTGAAATGCATACCTCCATAGTAGAGGGATTTTTGAGAGAATTTGTTTGGAAAGTTTGGTGTGTGGATCAGACAAATATACTCTTATTTTCTCTCACAGTTCTCTTGAGGCTTTATCAGAGTGTTGCTATGAAGGATGATATGGAATAAAGTAAAAGGTTCTTTTTTAAATTCTGTTAACCAAGAATCTAAACTTCATATCTAATATGAACTTTATACATACCTTTCCTTTAGTGTGAAATATGCAAACAACCTTTGGAAAACCTACAAGCAGGTGACAGTATTTGGATTTACAGACAGACAATACATTGTGAATCTTGCTACTCTAAAGTTGTAGGTAAGTGTTGAGATCTGTGAGAAACTATCACTAACATTAATGAACTTTAGATATTGTTGAAAGATTTCAAAACTGGAAAGTATTTTATTAATTATATTAAAAATTCAGTTGCAGATACAATTGTAGCATTTCATTTAATCAGTCAAAATTTGTATTTTATTCTGATATCAGACCAGACATAGATACGAATAAGCATAGGTCATTTATTGTAGGAAATTTTCCAATTTTTGCAAACAAAAATTTATCTTCTTTGCTCAGCTCATTGTTAGAATTAAAGTGCATTTCTGTGAATGAGCTTTTACATTTGCACTGGAATGTACTTTTATAATTTAATTTTGTTATTATACTAAATGCCTTTTAATGTTAATTTTAAATGGAAAATTTAAAGTTAATGGTATACAATTCTATATTAAATATAGCATCTAAGTTTTTTTTTTTTTCCAGCTTAAGATCAATGTTACTATAATTTGGGCACTTAATTAGAATCAATTATGTGAGAAGAAACATTAAGGGCCTGCATTTTTAACTCATATTTTCAATAAGCTTAGCATGAAAGTTATAAAAGTTGATTTAAAAGATGTGCACAGTACAATATAAAAGTCTATGAAGCTTGATTAGTTTTTAAAGCCAGTATCAGCATTTTGTTTTTACTTCAATAGTCAGTAGATGGAATAAGCAGGATAAATACTGGGGAGCTGGTCAACAGCACTGTGTAAAGGGAAGGTTTCCTGCCGGTGGTGAATGGAAAAGGAACATCTGCAGTTGTTATATGGGATCCAAAATATGGAATTTAATGACAAATGTGTGATATTAATGAGGTGCTTGAAGGCTACATCTGGAAAATGCTCTGAAAAGTATTCAGAAACCCACATTCCATCAGGCTGCAGAATCGATGACAAGAACAAAGCTAATTATATTCATACTTGGCTTTCTATTTTCTGCTTTCCCCAGCCATTCTTATATCCCTTTTTCTTCCTCATTGAGAAGACTTATCAGGATCCTTATCAATATTACATCAGGGGGCTTTGCTATGCATCTTAGCAGCTCTAAAACTTTCAGTCCCAAGAGTCCATGAAATGGTTTAGGAGATGTGGTTACCGAAACACTCAGATGTCTCTGTGCCTTCCTCCCTATCTATGTGCACTTTTATAGTACATAGAAGTTATCAAGACATGACTCTCAAGCGTGTCATAAATATGAATATGGGGCATCAGTGCTTCATATTCACAGTATGACCAAAAGCCTTGCCACAGTGATGAATGCAGTAGATGGTAAAAGTAAACTGTTTAGTCCACCCCCACCCACACAGATGAATAATTATTTTTAAAACTTTGGTTATAAGCTTATTTTTGTACTGAATTTGTATATATAACTTATTTTCTTTACATTTTTCAGCCAAGTGGATTCAGTAATTCTGGCACATGAAAATCAAGAGGAAAGGATTCATCGAGGAATTAAAATTTTTATTATAAGAACATGTAGTCTAAAAAAGCTTTATACCAATGACTGACTCTTTGTATAACAATTCTGCTATTGCATAAATAATATAATTGCTTATACTAAGGTCACATACATAACAGGAACCATCTGGTATCTGGTTAGATTTAGAGATAAAAATTCAAGTAGTCTAGTTACCAGCATCAAAGGAAGGATGTTTCTGATGGCAGTGAGCATTGTCAGCCTTGACCAGGTCCATCTCTGCTCAGTATTAGGTTGTGCATCATGGTTTCCATTAGAGACTAGGATTGCCAATTTCTCATTTTCTGTTTCCCTAGGGATTTGGATTTACAGATGTTACTGACATCTTGACAAAACTATCAAGCAAGCAAGATATGTACATTTCTTATGTGCAAAAGAAATGTTCATAGAAATTTTGGCAGAAAGATAAAAGTCTGGCAGAAAGGTGATAGTGTATAATGGTGTATAGACCTCAGAAAATCACTTAAACTATTCAGATTTTGGTGCTATTATCTGTAACATGAGGAGAAATGGAGAAAATAATTTCTGAGGTCACTTTCTGCTCCAAAACTCTCAGATTCTAAAGCAAGTTTTTGTTTGATCTTTAGAATGATACCTGAATCTGTGTTTGTTAAGCATGTGGAACTAGATAGGATATCTAAACAATTTAATGTTGGTGTCATCCTTTAGTTTATTACAGATATAAGCTTTATAGAACATGTTTTATAAATACAAAGACATGCATTTATTGGTAATGGGTAAAAATCATATGGTATGTATAGCTTACATATTATAATTTGTTATGCTTTCTTTTCAAAATCTGGATATGTAAATGATCTATGAGAAATAATGGCAATGGACTAAAAGACATGTTCCTTAGCATGCCAAACCTATTCCTACTACATAGCACTTTATATTTACAGATGGCTTATAAAAATAAAATGAACTGTCAGTTACACAGAATCCTCTTGTGCGGCATCTATAAATGACATTGATACAGTCAAGTATAGTGATCGTAATTTATTGTATTCTGTGCTATGCTACTTAACTTTTGTCTTCTTAAGCCATAACATTGATTTTTAAAGAGCTTTTTCTTAAGGAATTGAAAAGTCAGTAATCTTGTGTGGAATTATTAAAATTGAGACATTGCACTTATAAACTATTTTATATGCATATAGGAACTGCTTCTCAAAGGAAAGCATATGGAACATTGAGAGAGGGTGAGATTCTAAGGGAGTTTAAGGCAGTTATATAAAACTGACAGACTAAGGAGATCAAAAAGATAATCATGTATTTTCTAACTGTTGCTAAATGTAAAGAATGATTCTTCCGTATAATGATTTCAAGCTTCTGTTCCTCTTAGACACTGGTCCACAAAGTGTTAAACACTAAATGCTTATCAAAACACAGCAATGTGTAATCTCTGTCCTATGGAGAGGAAGCCAGAAAAAACAATTAATAATAATTTGATACTCATTAATTCATGCTTGATGAGAAGTGGTGGTAATTGAGCCATATGTTTTATTGTTCTCTTATTACATGCTATCAGAGTGGATCAAAAGAAATAATTTTCTTAGAGTTGAAATTCGTGGCAGGAAAGGATGAGGAGAATAGTAGCCCTCTCTTTTATAGAAAGTGTATTAACATCTCAATGCCTTTGTAGTAATTAAAAATCATTTGAATATCATTTTTAAAGGACTCTACTGTTGAATGCTTCACTTCAAAAAAAAAAAAAAACCTAAAAGGGGCATAATTCTCACTTTTCTGTAGCTGTTTAATGGACCCTTTCTTCTACAATAATGTATTAAATTAAACCAAAAGCTGCTGTAAAAATAGAGTAGATACAGAGTGAAGAGAAAAGGGCTTCTGATTTTATCAAGTCCGCTTCATTATGTCTGGGATTATTTGCACCATAGGAATGACAGATTTCTAAAACAATTTGTAAGATCTCATTTTTATTTGCAACGAATTATGTTATGATTGGCATATTTTTCCTGGACACAAGTGCCTACATCTCAGAATACCAGGTCCTGGATTCTATTACTAATTAAAGGATGTCTCTAAAAAATAATTAATTGCTCCACTATGACAGCATTCTTCTGAAAAACAACATAAAATTTATCTAGTAATCTTGGAGATAAAATCTGTTAAAATCTTTCTTTTTCTTTTATTAAGGCCAAGAAATAAAAATTTATTCAGGAAGTAATCTGTGCATCCCTAATTATTTGATTGCAATCACTGCTATAATTAGATATGAGTGATGAGATGGTCCAGTTCTCACAACTGGGGCACTCTCTGACTTGTTTACTATGATAGAAAATCATGAGCATTTGGAACATTTTCCAACTCAGCTTGATTCAGAGCTCTACCAAAACAAGTGACTGGCCTACATTGAGGCGAACTAACAATGTTAATGTTATTTTTTGTTGTTGTTACTACTGAATATACTGGTTATTTGGTATAATGTGAATAATTTTTAGTATTGTACCTATTTCATAACATTCAACAGTTCCCAGAGACCCTTGTTTTTCAGTTGCTAAGTCCTGTCTGACTCTTTGCAACCCCAATGACTGCAGCACATCAGGCTTCCCTGTCCATCACTAACTCCCATAACTTGCTCAAACTCATGTCCACTGAGTCAGTGATGCCATCCAACCATCTTATCTTCTGTCACCCCCTTCTTCTCCTGCCCTCAATCTTTCCCAGCACCAGAGTCTTTTCTAATGAGTTGGCTCTTCGCATCAGGTGGCCGAAGTATTGGAGCTTCAGCTTCAGCATCAGTCTTTCCAATGAATATTCAAGGTTTCCTTGAGAATTGATTGGCTTGATCTCTTTGCTGTCCAAGGGACTCTCAAGAGTCTTTTCCAGCACCTCAATCCTAAAGAATCACTTCTTTGGCACTCAGCTTTCTTTATGGTCCAACTCTTATATCCACACATGACTACTGGAAAACCCATGACTTTTTCTAGGCAGACCTTTGTTGGCAAAGTGTTGTCTCTGCTTTTGAATATGCTGTCAGATTTGTCATAGCTTTTTTCCCAAGAAGCAAGAGTCTTTTAATTTCATGGCTGCAGTCACCGTCCGCAGTGATTTTGGAGCCCAAGAAAATAAAATCTGCCACTGTTTTCCATTTTCCTCCCATCTATTTGCCATGAAGTGATGGGACCAGATGGTATGATCTTAGTTTTTTGAACGTTGAGTTTTAAGTCAGTTTTTTCACTCATATATACCTGTATTAACTTGCATTGGCCACTTCCCTCATGAGTCTATTTCCTGCTACTTAAAGTGTGAGATTTAAAACATTGGTTTGCTGTTGTACCCACCAGACCAAACACTGCATGATTTATAAATCGATGCTTACCCCCTTCTCAGATGCCTCTTTCATTAGAGACCTAAGAGTTGTCAAATATTTTGTATGTGTTACAGAATTGCTTGTTGACTTTGTCACAACACAACTGTTGGACAACATTCTGATTTGCATTTACTGGATCTTTTTGTCCTGCCCTTTGAGAAGTATGGCTTCTCATTGAAATGTTCAGATGCCTCTTGAGTTAGGTAATGGTCTCAATTTTTTCACTAGAATAGAGGAAACTGATCATCAGCATCATTTATAAATACCACCTGGGAAAGATCTTCTAACTTCATTGCCTTGGAAACATTCTTCTCATTCATACATGAAAATCCAATCATTCTAGAGTCTGTAGGAAAAAATGCATGGCTTATAATCTACTGTCATTCATTCATTCATTTGTTCTATTTTCCAATAACTTAAAAATCTTCGTTTAGAGTCTGTGTTCCAGATCTCCATGGTAACCAAAATAGCCAAGACTCCTGCCCTCTTGGAACTTAAATTCTAAAGAAAGGTTGGAGGAGCAGTTTGAAAGACAAAATGTAAATAAACACAATAATTTCTGAAAGCAAATAAGACCATGAAGGAAATAAAACACAGCAACCAGGAAAAGGGGTAGTATTTAAAAGTAATGTTGTCAGATGATATTTCGACTAACAGCTGAATGATGAGAAGGAACTAGCCTGGGGAAAAGCACTCCAAGAGGAGATATCTTGCTGCTGCTGCTGAGTCGCTTCAGTCGTGTCCGATTCTGTATTTTTTTTCAACAAAAGACCAGGTCGTCTAAACATCAAATGATGACAGTTAAGAAAAGAAACGAGATATCTTGCTGCTGCTGCTGAGTCGCTTCAGTCGTGTCCGATTCTGTGTGACCCCATAGACGGCAGCCCACCAGGCTCCCCATCCCTGGAATTCTCCAGGCAAGAACACTGGAGTGGGTTGCCATTTCCTTCTCTAGTGCATGAAAGTGAAAAGTGAAAGTGAAGTCGCTCAGTCTTGTCCGACTCTTAGCGACCCGACGGACTGCAGCCCACCAGGCTCCTCCGTCCATGGGATTTTCCAGGTGAGAGTCCTGGAGTGGGGTGCCATTGCCTTCTCCGGGAGATATCTTAGGATTGGTCAAAATCATTCCACTTTCTGGACTAAATGTGTCCTTGCTTCTCTTAAATATGAGATCCAAATTCACAGATGCCAAGAGACAGAGAACAGTCAAAGGATTTTTAAGCTTCTTCTATTCCTCATGCAAAACCATATTCAGATATCACGTAGATAGCTTTCAGGTCTCTGCCAATGGGTGGGTGACACCAAATGGTTACTCCATCTTGGTCCTCAGGCTGAAGTTTCTCACTGGATAAAGGAGTGACTGTGTCAGTGGTGGGTCTGAACCAATGCTCGCCTAAAGTGGAAACAATGGGCCAGGTATGACATTTGCTCACCTCATCTAAGGCAGCACTCAGGATCTAATTCCTTTCTGTTTTCCAAAAAGAGACAGTAAACAGTTAAGCAGCATCATTTCAGGTCTAGAAGACACTTCTCACAGGAATTTTATAAATGTTACTTGTTCTATTCCTTTGTGGCAATATGAATAATGTATCTGGTTGAAAGGAACACACAGATCTTGATGTAACTTTCTTGACAGTTACAATTTGTTGATTTCACCTCTTTTCCCAAGAGAAAAGGAAAGATTACCAGTTTCAAGGACCCTTCAGGCCCATAAAGGCAAATTGGATTGAAAGTCTCCCATAGGGAAGTGTTTAGGCCCTAAGGCAAGTGCGACCTTGGTGTTATTTGAAGAAATCACAGAAAGATTGCCAGGAGGCTGGAATTAGTGAACTTGAAATGATGAGATCGACGAAGCAGACAAGAGATAACCTGTGGTTGTTTCATAATATATTATTAAAAATATACATCATCAAATGAATGGTGACATTTCATCAAATTCATTTATGCCTTTTAAATTTGTGCCGCCATTAAGATATTGTTGAATATAATTCGTTTCATGAACAGATTAAAATTATTTTGAGACAAATATAGTCTACTGATTTTTGACAAAAGCACAAAGAAAATTCAGTGGAGAAAGAATAGTTTTTTAAAATAGTGCTGAGATAATTGGACACCCATGTGCAAAAAAGAAAAAAATCAGTACTGAGACACAGACTTTACATCTTTTACAAAAATTATCTCAAAGTGGATCATAGACTTAAATGTAAAATGCAAAACCATAAAACTCCAAGAAAACTTAGGAGAAAAACAACATGACCTTAAACTTGGTTAAGAGTTTTTGGGTGTAACATCAAAAGTGCAATCTATAAAATAAAAAAATGATTGAAATTCAACTTTGTTAAAATTAAAACTGTGTGCTCTATGAGAGACACTGTTAAGATATTGAAAATATAAGCCACAGATTGGGAGAAAATATTTGCAAAGTACATATCTGATAAAGAACTTGTTCTCCATATCAAAGAACCCTGAAAACTAATCACTAAGGAAACAAACGAACAAACAAAACTTTTAAAAATGGGCAAAAGATCTGAAAGCACACCTAACCAAAGAAGATCTACAGATGGCAAATAAACATATGAGTGATACTTAATATCACTTTTCATTCAGCTCAGTTGAGTTCAGTCGTTCAGTTGTGTCCGACTCCTTGTGACCCCATGAACTGCAGCGCGCCAGGCCTCCCTGTCCATCACCAACTCCTGGAGTTTACTCAAACTCATGTCCATCAGGTCGGTGATGCCATCCAACCATCTCATCCTCTGTCATCCCCTTCCCCTCCTGCCCCCAACTCCTCCCAGCATCAGGGTCTTTCCCAATGAGTCAACTCCTTGCATGAGATGGCCAAAGTATTGGAATTTCAGCTTCAGCATCAGTCCTCCCAATGAACACCCAGGACTGATCTCCTTTAGGATGGACTGGTTGGATCTCCTTGCAGTCCAAGGGACTCTCAAGAGTCTTCTCCAACACCACAGTTCA